AGCAAGTTTTTCCATCAAGTCAAGCAAGTTTTTCCATTATTGAATTATATTGCTTTATTCATCCCCAGTTCGATCTGGGTGGTTTCTATTCAGACACAGTTGTTGGTCTAGCTGTCTGCACCACTGGGTAGATCAGATCAGTTTTTCTGGCTAAACTTTGTCATGATGAGCCCATAGGCAGCCATCACACCCATGATAATGAGTACATAGCTACTGAGTACATGCATGCATGCACATGTTGTAAAGTATGATGAATATACCATACATTGTACATACTGGAAGCACATACTCACATAGACACACATGAACACACACAGACATTAAATAATTTGTCATTCCCCTTGCAGTCTCAGCTTTTTCCATCTCAATCCACACACACACACGTACACACACACACCATGCATTTACTCCTGTCTCACTGGTCTCCCCTAACGACGATCCATCTCTCTCCAATGGTTTGTCCTCTGGGTAAACCTTAACAGCCTTGTCTGCGGCGGCCATATCGTTAAAAGGATGTTAAGTCCAGCGGTATTTATTCAGCCTCCATGGAGAATGGCCCTAAACTGGAAATCATGGCATTTGTCCGAGTGAATGTGAAACCTCCGTGTGTGTGTGTGCGGGGACAGACACCACCACCACCCTCTGTGCTGTTAGATAATCCACAGTAGGTGCCTAGGTGTGTCTGCTTCTGTTATTGCAGAGCTACAGTATGTGTGACTTGGGTTTTAAAGATGTGTGTGTTGATTGTCAAAGAGCTCTCTATGGGTGAATGTGTCACTCCACCTCTCCTCCCTCCTTTTCAAGATTCCTGTAAAACACTGGGCCACCATTTCCTGAGGGCCAGCCTCAGACAGGAACCCAAGTAATTCCATCCATCCACAACAGCAGAACACAACCCTCCATGTCATGCTATCACTGACTATCCCTGACTGAGACAGAAAGGGAAAGAGACGAGACAGTGTGGGAATGCACAGGAAGGTGGCATGTACTGTTCACAGTAACTCACACACACTCACACTTCTCGTAGTATCTCACTCACTCACAGTACACTGAGGTGTCTAACTGTCAGGGTTGCTTTACAGTAAATAGGAGACTAGCCTTGGGGTCTTCACCGGGGCTGTGTGTGTTCTGTGTTAGGGGTGGATAGTCAAGGCACAGATAGAGGACCTGAGCTCATGTGCCACTTCAAAACAAAAGCCCTGCTAGGGCCCGCTGGCAACACACAGGCCAGGGTGACCAATAACAGCAGCTGTGTTTGATGCCTTAACAGTATTTGAACGTGTGTTTGGCAGAGGTGAGCAATGGCAGACAAAACAGCGACCCAACGAGAATTCAACAGTAGGTTCCATTCAGGTAACTTGACTAGAGCATTGTGGCTTCTCTAAAAGCGGGACAAATGTCCTCCTCCTTATGCAGCTTCAGTAGATATGTTGTCTTAGGGAATAAGGTTGAGAAAGAAGCCTTCTTAAGAGATCAAGGACTTCCAACTTGCCTGTTAAATCTTGCCTGAGCTCAGAGGACTCCTGTTAAATCTTGCCTGAGCTCAGAGGACTCCTGTTAAATCCTGCCTGAGCTCAGAGGACTACTGTTAAATCTATGCCTGAGCTCAGAGGACTGCTGTTAAATCTATGCCTGAGGACTCAAAACGCAGTGTTTGGCATTCATTTTTAACTCAGCAGTAGGGTTTTTTAATGATCTGCATGATTTCATCCACCTTGATCTTATTGCACCGGTCTCTCTCTCTCTCTCTCTCTCTCTCGCTCTCTCTCGCACTTTGTCGCTCTCTCTCGCTCTCTGTGTCTGTCTCTCTCTGTGCCCATCCATCCATTTGTCACCCTGTATGACTGGCCTCTGGTTGGTGGGCAGTATCTCCCTGATCTAACATGAGAGATGGAAGGGGAATGATGTGCTAATGAGCCACCAGACTCTGTTCACAGTAAAACACTCACAATCTCTCTCACACACACACACCCCATTCTCTAGGGAAAGTCTCCAGGGTCGTCATGGCGATGCTCCCTGCACCCAACCAGTGCCTCAAATCCCTCTCCACCACTAAATGAAGTGTGGCTCTGAGGCTAGGTGACATCTGTCAGGCCTGCTTTATGGACTTCCCTTTTGTAGCTTGAAGTGACTGTGCTGCTGGGTTTGATTAGGTGAATTTCCCAGTTCCTGTTCCTATATGATACATACCCACTCACACACGTGGGTGGCCTCTCTCTCTTAAGTTTGACTCTCCTTTATTAAAGGTTTTATTTCTGGTTAACAATGAAGTAGTTATGTAGCTCAGTTGGTAGAGCATGGTGCTTGCAATGCCAGGGTTGTGAGTTCGTTTCCCACGGGGGGCCAGTATGAAAAATGTATGCACTCACTAACTGTAAGTCGCTCTGGATCAGAGCGTCTACTAAATGACTCAAATGTCAAATGTAAGTACCTTACTGTGATGTTTTCAAATAAAATGGTCAAAAAGAAACCAGAATAGCTTCATAGCAAGAGCAATTTCTCAAGCAATAATTTTTGCTACGACTGTCTGGAGTGGTCTGAGTGGGGAGGGGAAAACAAGATGTTATTGGCAGAGAGGTTTGGAACTCTTTCTTATTGGTCGATTAACTAATTTACTGCCTGGTGAAACTCCATCCCACCAAAACAGGCAGAAATTACAGGCTGTCTTTTTAAACAGCTCTTACACTAAAAGGGCATTATCATAATTTTCACAATTTCACAGTATTATTCCAACCTCATAGTGTGGAAATATATGTAAAACACAGGAAAGTCACATTTTTGACTGCACTGGGCCTTTAATAAAATACCACACCCATATGTATTAGCTTTAGCCTTAGTTTTAGAATCAACCTACATTTAACATTGATAAATGTGTCTTTTAGCAGCTCTTAACCATAGCAATCAGGAACTGTAACACTGTCAGTTTCTGCTGTCGACTCCCACAGTCTAATGAATGGTAACTTTCATGAGTAATTCCTCTTTCTTTAACCTCTTTGTATGAGAGAGTTTGTGTTACTCTGTCTGCACAGTGTAACCACAGTTCCCTTCTCATCCCCTCCCCCCGCCACATGGTCACGGCTCTGGAGGCACTCCAGTGTGACAACACTTCTCTAACTCTCTCTCTTCCTGTCCCATTGTGTTCTTGAATCCCAAAGACAATTTCAGAGAGCGGGGGAAAAATTGGAGAGGGGAGAGAGGGGGAATCAGAGTGGATGGAATTCCACACACTGCACTGTGCACTCTGACCAAGGCCGCTATTTATTATTCAAAATAAATGTTATTGGTCACATGCTTGGTAAACAACAGGTGTAGATGAAGAGTGAAATGCTGACTTACGATCCCTTCCCAACAATGCAGAGAGAAAGAAAATAGAGAAATAATAGAAAAGTAATAATAAATACACAATGAGTAACGATAACTTGGCTGTATACCCAGGGTACCAGTACTGAGTCGATGTGCAGGGGTACGAGGTAATTGAGGTAGATACACTACATGACCAAATGTATGTGGACACCTGCTCGTCGAACATCTCATTTCAAAATCATGGGCATTAATATGGAGTTGGTCCCCCCTTTGCTGCTCCATTCTCCTGGGAAGGCTTTCCACTAGATGTTGGAACATTACTGTGGGGACTTGCTTCCATTCAGCCACAAGAGCATTAGTGAGGTCGGGAACTGATGTTGGGCGATTAGGCCTGGCTTGCAGTCAGTGTTCCAATTCATCCCAAAGGTGTTCGATGGGGTTGAGGTCAGGGCTCTGTGCAGGCCAGTCAAGTTCTTCCACAACGATCTCGACAAAACATTTCTGTATGGACCTCGCTTTGTGCATGGGAGCATTGTCATGCTGAAACAGGAAAGGGCCTTCCCCAAACTGTTGCCACAAAGTTGGAAGCACAGAATCGTCTAGAATGTCATTGTATGCTGTAGTGTTAGGATTTCCCTTCACTGGAACTAAGGGGCCTAGCCCAAACCATGAAAAACAGCCCCAGACCATTACTCCTCCTTAACAGCTTCTACCCCCAAGCCATAAGACTACTGAACAATTAATCAAATGGCCACCTGGACTATTTGCAATGACCCCCCCTTTGTTTTTACACTGATGCTACTTGCTGTTTATTATCTATGCATAGTCACTTTACCCCTACCTACATGTACAAATGACCTCGACTAACCTGTACCCCCGCACATTGACGGTACCCCCTGTATATATCCTCATTATTGTTATTGTAATGTGTTACTTTTATTTTTAATAACATTTTAACTTTATGTTATTTAGTAAATATTTTCTTAACTCTATTTTCTTAAAACTGCATTGTTGGTTAAGGGCTTGTAAGTAAGCGTTTCACTGTAAGGTCTACACCTGTTGTATTCAGCGCATGTAACAAAGAAGATTTGATTGGATTTTTTTGAGCTTGCAAGGCACTATGGTGTTAAACGCTGAGCTGTAGTCAATGAACAGCATTCTCACATAGGGGTTGCTTTTGCACATATGGGAAAGGGCAGTGTGGAGTGCGATAGAGATTGTGTGATCTGTAGGGCGGTATGCGAATTGGAGTGGGATTGATTTTTGCAGTGTAAAGATCCAAAAGTTTGTGTGTGTGTGTGTGTGTGTGTGCATGTATTTGTGTCTTCTCCTGCTGAGATAGCCCGTGTGTATGTCCATACCTGAATAACAGGCTGGCAGAGTGATTGTTAAATGGCACACTGGAATGGTGCTGCCACTCTGCATAGTGTCCTAGAGGGAAATACACTTATTTTGCTCTACTACTCACACTCACTCTCAGACGTCTCCTCAGCGCCTTGGAAGGTTTATGGCTGCAGGGATGTGGAACTAAATTCAGCTTTTTCAGAGCTGAATTAACTACAGGAGAGGTAGAGGGAGTCCTTGTCTGGACACTTTGACCTTTCCATTAATTTCTTCTTTCCATTTTCCTCAGTCCCCCTCATCACCTTCTCCTCCATACTCATCCTTTGTTCTTTTCTCTCTCCTGTGTTTCAGCCCATGTGGAGAATGAGGATCAGTACACCCAGGCCCTCGAGAAGTTTGGGGAGAACTGTGTCTACAGGGACGACCCCGACCTGGGCTCTGCCTTCCTCAAGTTCTCTGTCTTCACCAAGGAGCTCACCGCCCTCTTCAAAAACCTGGTGAGAGGAAAGACTGAGATGTTGTTCTGTTATGCACCTTCAAACTAAGTATTTGTTCTGACTGATGAAAAGACTAATAGCTTGAGGAATTTGGGATTAAATAAGCTTGAGGAATTTGGTCAGTTCTTGAGACAACACAGATTAAATCAACAGTGAATTTGCTCTCTGTGTAATTTGACGTTGTTCCTGTTGTGAGGCAAAATTCTCTAGAATGGCTGTCAGGTGTTTCTAATAAAGCTTTAGGGTTGTTTGAATCTGTATTGGAGTCAAAGCAGAATCTGAGTAAATTGGATCCAGCAGATATTTGGTCTCCAAGTAGCACTTTGGAAGCTGTGATGGAAAACTGATCTACCCCAAAGGCCTCCCATTCCAGATTACATTCTGACCCCAGGGGATACACACACAATTAGAGCAGGATGATAGTATTTGTGGCCCTCGGGTAGGAATTCCACACACAAATATGCAGTGTTTCCCCTATATTCATTTAGTAGCGGTGGCCTGCCGCTGCTAAATCGTTCCCACCGCTGCAAGAAATATGTAATTTGTTTTATTTGAAAATATACAGTGCCTTCGGAAAGTATTCAGACCCCTTGACTTTTTCCACATTTTGTTACGTTACAGCCTCATTCTAAAATGGAATACAAATGTAAATGTTTTCCTCATCAATCTACACAATACCCCATAATGACAAAGCGAATACAGGTTTTTAGTCTGACAGAGCTCTAGAGTTCCTCTGTGGAGATGGGAGAACCTTCCAGAGGGACAACCATCTCTGCAGCACTCCACCAATCAGGCCTTTATGGTAAAGTGGCCAGACGGAAGCCACTCCTCAGTAAAAGGCACATGACAGCCCGCTTGGAGTTTGCCAAAAGGTACCTAAAGGACTCTCAGACCATGAGAAACAAGGTTCTCTGGTCTGATGAAACCAAGATTGAACTCTTTGACCTAAATGTCAAGCGTCACGTCTGGAGGAAACCTGGCACCATCCCGACGGTGAAGCATGGTGGTGGCAGCATCATGTTGTGGGGATGTTTTTCAGCAGCAGGGACTGGGAGACTAGTCAGGATCGAGGGAAAGATCAATGGAGCAAAGTACAGAGAGATCCTTGATGAAAACCTGCTCCAGAGCGTTCATTACCTCAGACTGGGGCGAAGGTTCACCTTCCAACAGGACAATGACCCTAAGCACACAGCCAAGACAACGCAGGAGTGGCTTCAGGACAAGTCTCTGAATGTCCTTGAGTGGCCCAGCCAGAGCCCGGACTTGAACCCGATATAACATCTCTGGAGAGACCTGAAAATAGCTGTACAGCGACACTCCCCATCCAGCCATGCTGGTTAAGTGTGCCTTGAATTCTAAATAAATCACAGACAGTGTCACCAGCAAAGCACCACCACACCATAACACCTCCTCCTCCATTCTTTACGGTGGGAACTACAAATGCGGAGATCATCCGTTCACTCACACCGCGTCTCACAAAGACACAGCGGTTCGAACCAAAAATCTCCAATTTGGAATCCAGACCAAATTACAAATTCCACCGATCTAATGTCCATTACTCATGTTTCTTGGCCCAAGCAGGTCTCTTCTTCTTATTGTTGTCCTTTAGTAGTGGTTTCTGTGCAGCAATTCGACCATGAAGGCCTGATTCACATGATCACCCTCTGAACAGTTGATGTTGAGATGTGTCTGTGACTTGAACTCTGAAGCATTTATTTGGGCTGCAATTTCTGAGGCTGGTTACTCTAATGAACTTATCCTCTGCAGCAGAGGTAACTCTGGGTCTTCCATTCCTGTGGCGGTCCTCATGAGAGCTAGTTTCATCATAGCGCTTGATGGCTTTTGCGACTGCAACTTTCAAAGTTCTTGACATTTTCCGTATTGACTGACCTTCATGTCTTAAAGTAATGATGGACTGTCGTTTCTCTTTGCTTATTTGAGCTGTTCTTGCCATAATATGGACTTGGTCTTTTACCAAATAGGTCTAACTTCTGTATACCCCCACTTACCTTGTCACAACACAACTGATTGGCTCAAACGCATTAAGAAGGAAAGAAATTCCACAAACTAACTTTTAAGAAGGCACACCTGTTTATTGAAATGCATTCCAGGTGACTACCTCATGAAGCTGGTTGAGATAATGCCAAGAGTGTGCAAAGCTGTCATCAAGGCAAAGGGTGGCTATTTGAAGAATCTCAAATATAAAATATATTTTGATTTGTTTAACACTTTTTTTGGTTACTACATGTTTCCATATGTGTTATTTCATAGTTTTGATGTCTTCACTATTATTCTACAATGTAGAAAATAGTAAAAATAAAGAAAAACCCTTGAAAAAGTAGGTGTGTCCAAACTTTTGACTGGTACTGTATATACACACACAAACAAACAGAACACACACACACAGAACACACAACCAGCTAAGGTGAGGACATTTAAACAGCACACTTAATCTCTGGTTGTCTCTGTTCACCCATGCTTGTGTTAAACCCTCTCTGACGTAAGCTTCTCTTCACTGTGTCCATTCAGTTCCAGAACATGAACAACATCATCACCTTCCCTCTGGACAGCCTGCTGAAAGGTGACCTGAAAGGAGTCAAAGGGGTGAGGAACACTATCCTCAATGTCTTTCTTTTAGACACACACACACACACACTATCCATGTCTTTGCTACGCACGGCACACACACACACACACACACACACACACACACACACACACACACACACACACACACTATCCTCCATGTCTTTGTTACGCACTGCACACACACACACACACACACACACTATCCTCCATGTCTTTGTTACGCACTGCACACACACACACACACACACACACAAACACACACACTATCCTCAATGTCTTTCTGTTGGACTGTGTGGTGTTTATCAGACCTCCATAGGGATTTGTATGAAGGTAAAGGCTCTCCTATTACCCTGCTGTACTGTGGTAACTCAAGCTTCTATTTGTGTGATGGTAATTACTAGGTACTAGGTATGTTTTGTTCCTGGTAGAGAACAGAGAAGGTGTGTGACGTGTGTTTTCCTGCTGGTACAGTGTGACCTCAGACCCCATGATTTCCTGTGTGTGTGTTGGGGGTGGAAACTATAAACAGCGTACCACTCTTGCACTAGCTAACACATTAACTACACTCCATCACACATGTATTTGTATTTATTATGGATCCCAATTATTTGCTGCCAATGTAGCAGCTACTCTTCCTGGGGTCCAGCAAAATTAAGGCAGTTATCACATTTCTTAAACATTACAATGCATTCATAACAGATTTCACAACACATTGTGTGCCCTCAGGCCCCTACTCTACGACCACATATCTACAACACAAAATCCATGTGTACGTGTGTGTATAGTGCTTATGTTATCGTGTGTGTATGCATGTGTCTGTGCCTACAGTGCATTCGGAAAGTATTCAGACCTCTTCCTTTTTTCCACGTTTTGTTACGTTACAGACTTATTCTAAAATTGATTAAAATCTACACACAGTACCCCATAATGACAAAGTGAAAACAGGTTTTTAGATTCTTTTGCACATTTATTACAAATAATAACAAAAATACCTTATTTACATAAGTATTCAGACCCTTTGCTATGAGACTCGAAATTGAGCTCAGGTGCATCCTGTTTCCATTGATCTTCCTTGAGATGTTTCTACAACTTAATTGGAGTCCACCTGTGGTAAATTAAATTTATTGGACATGATTTGGAAAGTCACACACCTGTCTATTTAACGTCACACAGTTGACAGTGCATGTCAGAGCAAGAACCAAGCCATGAGGTCGAAGGAATTGTCCGTAGAGCTCCAAGACAGGATTGTGTCAAGGCACAGATCTGGGGAAGGGAACCAAAACATTTCAAGTTCGGAACCACCAAGACTCTTCCTAGAGCTGGCCGCCCGGCAAAACTGAGCATTCTGGGGAGAAGGGCCTTGGTCAGGGAGGTGACCAAGAACCCGATGGTCACTCTGACAGAGCTCCAGAGTTCCTCTGTGGAGATGGGAGAACCTTCCAGAAGGACAACCGTCTCTGCAGCACTCCACCAATCAGGTCTTTATGGTAGAGTGGCCAGACGGAATCCACTCCTCAGTAAAAGGCACATGACAGCACGCTTGGAGTTTGCCAAAAGGTACCTAAAGGACTCTCAGACCATGAGAAACAAGATTCTCTGGTCTGATAAGACCAAGATTGAACTCTTTGGCCTGAATGCCAAGCATCACGTCTGGAGTAAACCTGGCACCATCCCTACGGTGAAGCATGGTGGTGGGCTGCATTAGGTTGTGGGGATGTTTTTCAGCGGCAGGGACTGGGGAGACTAGTCAGGATCGAGGGAAAGATGAACGCAGCAAAGTACAGGGAGATCCTTGATGAAAACCTGCTCCTGAGCATTCAGGACCTGACTGGGGCGAAGGTTCACCTTCCAAAAGGACAATGACCCTAAGCACACAGCCAAGACAACGCAGGAGTGGCTTCGGGACAAGTCTCTGAATGTCCTTGAGTGGACCAGCCAGAGCCCGGACTTGAACCCAATCTAACATCTTTGGAGAGACCTGAAAATAGCTGTGCAGCGACGCTCCCCATCCAACCTGACAGAGCTTGAGAGGATCTGCAGAGAAGAATAGGAGAAACTCCCCAAATACAGGTGTGCCAAGCTTGTAGCGTCATACCCAAGAAGACTCGAGGCTGTAATCGCTGCCTAAGGTGCTTCAACAAAGTACTGAGTAAAGGGTCTGAATACTTATGTAAATGTCATATTTCAGTTATGTCTAAAAACCTGCTTTTGCTTTGTCATTATGGGGTATTGTATGTAGATTGAGGGGTAAAAAACAATTTAATCAATTTTAGAATAAGGCTGTAATGTTACAATGTGGAAAAAGTGAAGGGGTCTGAATACTTTCCTTATGCACTGTATGTTTGTGTTACTTCACAGTCCCCGCTGTTCCATAAGGTGTATTTTTATGTTTTTTAAATCAAATTTTACTGCTTGCATGAATTACTTGATGTGGAATAGAGTTCCATGTAGTCATGGCTCTATGTAGTACTGTGTGCCTCCCATAGTCTGTTCTGGACTTAGGGACTGTGAAGAGACCTCTGGTGGCATGTCTTGTGGGGTATGCATGGGTGTCCGAGCTGTGTGCCAGTAGTTCAAACAGACAGCTCGGTGTCAATACCTCTCACAAATGCAAGTAGTGATGAAGTCAATCTCTCCTCCACTTTGAGCCAGGAGAGATTGACATGCATATTATTAATGTTAGCTCTCTGTGTACATCCAAGGGCCAGCCGTGCTGCCCTGTTTTGAGCCAATTGCAATTTCCCTGTAAAGTCTGGGACCAGCGCACTCATTCTACTAGCTCCAGGACAAACCAGTTAGCCAGTCAGTGTGTGATGGGGCAGACCGCATACTGCAGGAATGCAATCAGAATCCTGTCTATATCAATGGGAGGTCGGCCCCAGACACCCCTCCAGTCTGCCAGGTCTCTAATCCCATCAGCACTCATTACTGTCTGCTCTGACCTCTGACCTCTGCACTGCAACCACGTGGGTCATAAGTGCCACTGCCTGATGTGTGCTAGCACTAATGAGGCTGTTCCCTCTCTAAGGCTGTTCTCTCTCTCTCTCTCTCTCTCTCTCTCTCTCTCTCTCTGTCTCTGTCTCTGTCTCTCTCTGTCTCGTTCATTCTCTCTCTCTCCTCTCTCTCTCTCTCTCTCTCTCTCTCTCTCTCTCTCTCTCTCTCTCTCTCTCTCTCTCTCTCTCTCTCTCTCTCTCTCTCTCTCTCCTTAGAGAGACTAGCTCGCTAGCTAGTCCCTAGTTACCCCATGGCTTCTCATTACTCTTACATTCTCCAAGGACTTTTGCTTTCTTGGAGGACACTCTTGTTTCTGTCCCTTGCCCTCTCCCTCTCTGTCTTTCTCTCTCTCCGTTGTAACTTTGGCATCTACAGGCTACATCAGACTTGTGTACAGAGCCTCTCTCGACTGACAGAGAGGGAAGCGGTAGTCCTCTGAACTGTGAACACTGACAGAGAGGGAGAAGCAATGGTGCAGATCTGCTCACTACCCCACTGGTGACTCTCATTACACTCCTGACATGGGGCTAATGGGGTGCTAGTCATGGTGCTTTGTGCTCTGACTCATTTATCCTGTCTATCCATTACCACTGCGGGGCGGAGGGAGGGAGGAAGGAAGGGAGGGAGGGAGGGGAGACAGAAAGTGTGTGTGTGTGTGTGTGTGTGTGTGTGTGTGTGTGTGTGTGTGTGTGTGTGTGTGTGTGTGTGTGTGTGTGTGTGTGTGTGTGTGTGTGTGAGAGAGACAGACAGAAAGAGTGACAATGAAAGACTTTCCATCTCCAGCTTGCAATGCATACCGTTCCCCATCTCTCAACTACACCGCCACTTTCTCCATTATTATTCTTCCTCTCCTCTCCCAGGGGAAGTACCTGTGGAGAACAGGAGGAAGGCGTCTAGACCAGCCTGAGTAGTGATGGGGAGAGAGAACGAGAGAGAGACCCTCCATCCCAGACACACCGCTCTAGCCTAATTGGGTTTTCATCTAGTCTGACTCAAACATAAAACAGACTCTCCTATCCTTCCTCCTCACAGTATTGTATTGCTATATTTCCCAAATCACCTGGATATGATCAAGAGGAAACCATGTCAGATTAAATAGTCTTGTGTTCAGTGTGAGTATGTCACAGGCATGAATACTATTCAGTAAATGCATTGTCTAAGTATGGCTGGGGGTTGAGTTGACGGTTAAAGCACTTTGTAGAGTAGACAACGTTAGCTTGACATTGGCTCGTTCATATTCAGTGAATGCGTTCTGAGTCTGGGAAGGTACTTAGCCGTTCCTACGGGAGACTGACAGTAATGGAGCTGAGATTACAGGACTTTCACACCATAACCATTTAGTTAAAGTATTTGAGGCCATTTCACGCTCCACTCATCTCTTCTTCCTGCTGTTCCCACCTCAACAGGGAAAGGATGTTGAGGATTTCACATGCTGTTCTGTGGGGTTGTGAGGTTATGACACCTGCGTTTTTGGTTTCCTTTCACTTCGTCATTTTTGTTGTTACTTCCATATGGACGGTGTCTGCTAAAGGATGTACAGGTAGGAAGGTTATAGTGTATCTGGCTACACTAGCCTGGGTCCAGCTTGCTTCTACTGACACAAAGACAGCCCTAGAAAGCTTAAAGTAAGCCATGATTCAGATTGGTTAGGTACTTCAGTTGGAACGGGATACACTGTATGTATCCTTAGTCCAAACTGGAATAGGACACAACTAACCAGGACACAGCATCACACTCCCTGTTTGTCTGTGGCAAAGTGCTGGCTAATGCCATCTTACTTGGTGTATAGGTTATTGTTGCTGACTGGGACCCACAGCTCTGTCCAGTGTCCACCTAACCCACCCTCCCACTCCAAACACTGAACATAAACAGACTGGTGGAAAGTGCTGAGACCACCAAACACCAGAGCCATGGGGATTTACGGACTGGACTGGACACTGGGATGACGTCATCCCTTCCAATGCTAAACCTTCTGATCCTTTGTATCTATGAACACACACACACTTACGTGTACACACACACACAGGCAGTGGGTAGATCCTGAGTCCTGACTGACGTGAGCCCAGATGATCCCCCCATAGTGGGCCAGTGAGTCGTGAAACCCACCCGCCCACACGGAATGATGCCACTGAGCCTTTTAGCTCCTAGCACCTCTGCCAAAGGAGTGATCTCACCTTTATTCCTCACCAAGAACAGATTAGGGAGAGGTAGCATTATAAGTCATGGGTTTTTAACAGCTGCTCTTGACCCCAACAAGAGCAGGTTGAGGACACGGGAGGTTGAGGTTGAAAGCTGTACTTTTTTATGTTTAGGTTGAGGTCTTGAAAAGGCCCTTACAGGTCACATTCCAATTCACTGGACAGGCATGTAGGCCTACCACTACTGCACCTCTTCAACAGTGAAGCCATTCCATTCTGGAGCACTGGAAAGTACACTTCACATTTGAAGCCTTAAAGGCCACTGTGGCTATTGACCATGTTCACTTAGACAAGGACAGTAGTGAAGGAGTCTAGAATAAATGTAACCAAGCAATTAAACACTCGACCAAGAAAGAGGCTGCAGGAGAATAACTCAACAGCAGAGTGCTATGTTCTGTTTTAGTGGATGGGAGGTGAACCCTGTTTGGCTGTGCTCCTAGTTAGACTGGCACATAATGCATTGATGTCCTCTCCTAGGCTAAAAATTGGGCTAAAAATTGACCATCCCAACTGGCATTTGCCCGAAATGCCAGATGTCCAGTCCTCACATGGTGGTCTTCCACTTGGCCCACTGAGTCAGACCATGATCCAATGACCATGGATCCATAACAACCACACTTGTTTTTGAAGAGAAGCTCAGCGGTCAACCAAGGGTGTCTTTCTCTAGGGCTCCGTCCCCGTATGGCACCCTATTCCCTATTTAGTGCACTACTTCAGCGGCAGGTAGCCTAGCGGCAGGTAGCCTAGTGGTTAAGAGGTTTGAATCCCTGAGCTGACTAGGTGAGAAATCTGTTGATGTGCCCTTGAGCAAGGCACTTAACCCTAATTGCTCCTGTAAGTCGCACTGGATAAGAGCGTCTACTTATTGACTAAAATTTAAAAATGTAAAATACTTCTGACCAGGCCTCATAGGGCTCTGGTCAATAGTAGTGTATTCCTGTATGGACGTCTGCTAAATGACTAAAATGTAAATGTAATTTGGGATGCAACCTAGAACTCTGAAAATCGGAATTCAGGCAATATCTTTAATATGACAGCAAAATAGCTCTAGATTGATTGTAATAATGCAGTAATACATGTATTGTAACAAAGCTTTAGAAAGATTAGCTTTTGTTCGAGGATGCCACTGAAATAATTATTTAATTTGAAAAACACTGTTACATTTCAAGTTTTCAGCGGAAAGGAGTAATGCAATTTAGAAAACCATTATACTGTAGCAATCAGTGCTCTCTGACGTTAGTGATCAGGATGCAGTCAGAAAATCCACAATAAATCAACAAAGAAACAGATTAGCAGTGCAATCAGTTAATCCATCTCCTCACGTTTAACAGTATTTTCATCGGCCTCGGAAGCAGCAATTTGGAGAGAAAATTACACAGGCAATTTCACCCGTTTAATGTCTGTTTTTGTTTCTCCCTAATCACTGTTTATTCAGTGGCACAGGCTGGAAAAGTGTTGCATAATCTAGCGTTTGATCGAACAGCTGTTGAACGCTACCATATTACGATGGGAAATCTGTTTAGCTGTTCAGTGGTGCAGCCACTGAAACAGTGTTAAGTTTATTGGTCGTGTACACAGTTTTGCAGGTGTTATCGCAGGTGCAGCAAAATGCTTATGTTTTTAGCTCCCACAGTGCAGCAATATCTAGCAATACAATAACAATACACACATAATCCCAAAATGTAAAAAAGAACATGAAATTAAGACAGAGTCTGAAATATACTGAACATAAATATAAATGCAATATGTAAAGTGTTGGTCCCATGTTTCATGAGCTGAAATAAAAGAACACAGAAATGTTCCATATGCACACTTATTTTTCCTCGTTTTTCCTTGTTAGTGAGCATTTCTCCTTTGCCAAGATAATCCATCCACCTGACAGGTGTGGCATATCAAGAAGCTGATTACACAGGTGCTCCTTGTGCTGGGGACAATAAAAGGCCACTCTAAAATGACTTTCAGCAGAGGCTGTGAGGACACTGTCCGAGACTTTATGTCAACTCAACTGAAACTGCCCACAGATGTCGTGCGTAATGTCACTTTCTCCAGAGTCCAGAAAATTGGTAAGGCCTCTGGGAATAGGTCACGGGCTATTATTGCATGTTTTGAACATTTTAAGCAAAAGGAAATGGCGAAGAGCAGGGGTAGAGAACTCAGAAACACAGATTTTGGAATGAATGATCACTTCCCCACGGAGATCAATGAAAGGAGAAAAAAATGGTATCCCATCATGAAAGAAAACCGTTGCCTGAACCAACGAGTCTCGTTGGTGATGGATAAACTTTACATCAACGGGCAACTGTATCGGGACTCTAGAGTAACTCCCTGGCTATTTGAATCCAATGTTCAAATCTGAGTTTGTGTGTTGTAGTGTATCATGACAACTTCAACTATAACAAATACATGCTCTATTGATCTTCACTTGACAAGGAAAGGGCTGCGTATAGCTCAGGTTAATGTATGTAGCCTTCCTAACAAAATACATGAGGTTTTTAACTTGGTCAACATAAATAATATTCATATTTTAGCTTTGACCGAAACGCATTTGGATGCATCTGTTAATGATTGGCAAATTAACATTCATGGATATAGTCGACTTAGAAGGGACAGGAATAGGAATGGTGGTGGTGTAGCACTGTACATTCAAAATCATAAACCTTTTAAGAGGAGGGATGACCTTAATGTATGTCAAACAGAGGCACTATGGGCTCAACAACATCTGCCTCACCAGGCACCCATATTGGTAGGATGTGTGTATAGACCTCCTAGCTCTAAGGTGTCCTATCTGGATGACTTATGCACTGGGTTTGACCACGCCACCGATAATAACATAGATGTATTTATCTTGGGTGATTTTTATATAAATTGGAAGGATCATAATAATTCAAATATAACGAAATTAATGAGATATGCCGAGAGCTGTGGTTTGAAACAAATGGTTAATGATACTACTAAACTCAGGGGGGTGTAACAGTCAGTATCTGGTGTGGCCACCAGCTGCATTAAGTACTGTAGTGCATCTCCTCCTCATGGACTGCACCAGATTTGCCAGTTCTTGCTGTGAGATGTTACCCCACTCTTCCACCAAGGCACCTGCAAGTTCCCGGACATTTCTGGGGGGAATGGCCCTAGCCCTCACCCTCCGATCCAACAGGTCCCAGACGTGCTCAATGGGATTGAGATCCGGGCTCTTCACTGGCCATGGCAGAACACTGACATTCCTGTCTTGCAGGAAATCACGCACAGAACGAGCAGTATGGCTGGTGGCATTGTCATGCTGGAGGGTCATGTCAGGATGAGCCTGCAGGAAGGGTACCACATGTTTTTCAGAGTCAGTAGACAGGCCTCTTAAGTGTCCAAAGTTTTCATAACTGTGACCTTAATTGCCTACCGTCTGTTATCTGTTAGTGTCTTAACGACCGTTCCACCGGTGCATGTTCATTAATTGTTTATGGTTCATTGAACAAGCATGAGAAACAGTGTTTAAACCCTTTACAATGAAGATCTGTGAAGTTATTTGGATTTTTACAATTTATCTTTGAAAGACAGGGTCCTGACAAAGGGACGTTTCTTTTTTTGCTGAGTTTAGATCATCAACTACGTTAGGTCACCGTTCGGACACGTAAGTTGATCTGATCTTCTGTAATATACCATTGCAATGCTTAAAAGCCAGATCAATGCCAGTGGGCTGGACAGACCATAATATTGTGACC